CTTCTGCAGTATTAAATGTATTTGTTCTGAGAAACACATGTACAGCAATGAACCACTGGAATGTGACCTCATAATGATAGCCAGTTATTTTCAAGCAAGTTTTTTTAAGGGGGGAGGTATTAGACGAGACTATGGAGACTGCGGGTTGCCTTTAGAACACACATGGTAAAAAGCCATAAGACGTAAACTGACTCTCTTTTACTCCTATTCAATTTATCTTACAAGCACTCTTAAAATCTTAAACAGTTAATTTTTACGTATCAAAACTTAGTAGCATATCACAATTATTTTGTTTTTGCTTTAAAAATCTGTATATCTCGGCGTGTAATTCATTTAAAAGTTGAAGTTTCTTTGTGGTTTTTTTTTCTAATAACTCGCAGGAAGTAAGGTGTGTCTTTTAGTAGTTGTGGACATTTTTTATGACTGATAAAAAAAGGGCACTTTTGAACCATAAGAGCAGGAAGGCAGGAGGCTTGAGCCCACCCAGCTAACCCCTATGCAAGTCACTAATGATAGCGATCTTCTAGTTAGCTTAACTTTTTATTTGCACTTTACCACTGTGAAATCATAAAAGTTACGTTGTTAAAGAGTGTATGATATAGTTGGAAAGAAAATTTTATCCCTGGTATAATTAAATTCAAACAATATTGTTTGAATTAGCAGAGAATGAGAAGATAATCTGTTATTCTAAACCAGCTGTTTTTAAATTTTGGATATAAACATAGTTAATCAAAACAAGCAACTCTCTGAAACAATGCACACAACGAACTCTTTAATAGCATGCTTTGGAGATGAGTGAAAGTCTACTAAACCTAAGGTAAAGGTACTGCTAAAACCCTTTTTTATCATTTTGTTATAAGTATACAATAATCAGATTGACCATTTGCAACAAATCAATAACATGTGAACTGCATAAACTAGTTCTCGATATCGCAAGTTGGTTTTCAGATCTATCAACAGTGAATACAACTCCCCATGAATACATACATGTGTACAAAAAACGACATTACTAATAGTTCTCATTGACTTTAACATTCTCCTTCCCGTAGGAACAAAACGGAACCACTATAGTACTTTTTGTCTTTACGTTTTTCTTTTTTTTAGCCGGGACATAGCGGCTCATATAATGGTTCCGAGTTATTTTCAAAAGTACAAACTTTTAGCTCATAGTTCTATCTTTTGACCGATTTTAGATTTAATTATACAGCCGCGGCTATTGAGGATTCACTCTTGTTTTATTTTTGTTGTTGTTTAAATCAGATAGTCTTTGTGTGTGTGTGTGTGTGTGTGTGCAACATTGCATAAATCATGACATTTCCAATGAAACAGTGAAATAAGAGTGATGGCATCTGATGCAACATCCAAAAGAGTGACTGTATATCCACCAAAACTGTCTGGGTATCCTTACAGCGATTTGACATTCCACAAACTTCGTAACTAATTACACATACCTTATGCCTCTAAAATTAATCGTTTTTATAATGATTTAGAAAGTGACGTCACAAACACAATGATTTATTTTTCAGATAAACTGACCTGTTTTTTTCGTTATAAATACGATATCAAATAGTTATTATCTCATATCCCAGATGTCGATATTGATCCCATTTTTGTAACTAACGAACTCACATCGAGTGGGTAGTGACAGGGGTGATACAATATCTATAAAAACATTCCCTTTTTGTTAACACTTATTCTCATGACTCATGCTTCCTACTGATGCAAGTTGTACCTTATTCTAAATACTTTCATTCTATAATGTGTGTGTGGCTTTGATAGTGACGTATGTTGTCATTTGGTATTTGCTGGAGCCCACATTACTGCAATGATTTCAATACTGCATTGTTTAACTATATTTCGCCACCTATTGTTAAAGGACTTCGGTATTAATCGTTGAATAGCATTCTCACTGTAATAGTTTACTAACTTTTTTGATTATTTGATTTATTTTGTATACATAAACCAACATTCATCTTCCACCCTCACAAATAATGGAATAACACCACAGAAGATAGTTACCAGAATCATGAATAGTTCACTAGATTTTATGATTATACCAAAAACCAACCTAAGTTTGTCGAGCTTTTCTTCTTCGTGTAAATAAATTGGGTAAAATATAAAACTCAAAACTTGGTTTAATTCTAGAAAAAAATAGTCATTTATCGTCATGTTATGCATGTGTATTTTTGATGTAAATAACTGAGTAGCCCTAATACATGCCATATTTATATTGAAATAAATGTTACCCATGTGCAGCCATCTACCTTTTTTATTTATACATTTTTAAGTATTTAATTCAAAATTTTATGCATTAGTCATTATGCCGTGAAAAATGTCTCACTTTTTCATTGTTTGTTTCTTACACTTTCTCAGTATCAACAGGGAAATTGTCCCTATTTGTAGTTTATATATTATCAATGTTAGCTTTATTACACATTTTTTTCACAATCCGATTTAGTTTTTATTTAACTTTCAACATTATTATAATTAGAAGGGCCAAGGGGGACTAGATGTACAAACATTTGGCTTGATGCTCAGGTTATTTACTTTTGATTCTTGATTAATTTTTGTATCTTCTCATTTTCTGATATTTTGGCCTATAAAATTGTGAATGCGTATTTCTACTTTGTCTTGACAGCTTTAAAATAGTGTTTATTTTGAGCAGTTTTCTATTCTAAGTTCTTCTTTATCCCTTCTTCATAGCTCCACTAGAACTACTTAGTTCTAAGGTGCAAGTATTTACATATTCTCTTACTTTCGTTACACAAATCTAAGCTGCTACAGGCTCTTACAAAGCTTTAAATGTCAACTACTTAACAATTTTTAAAGATTTAACAGTATAGATTTTGAGTGACAAATATTAAACCTTGATCTACAATACTATGCAACTTGAAAAGTTAAAATATAATTTCGAACTATAAACAACACATGTAAGCCAAAATCCGAAACCAGAACTAATTTCAACTGGTGCCAATTGTAAAATACAAAATAAAACCAAAACTTACAACCTAAGATACAATACAAATGAAAATCAAAACTTATTACAGTGTTTAATACATGAACATAAATATAAACTTTTTTAAAGTTAGAATTAAAGTAGTTTAAAACGCTTCACATTTTAAGTGTTTTATACCTTCGGATTATATTCACAAATTGCACCTAGACGTTAAGAACTTTATATTAAAATGATTTTGAAGCGTCACCACGATGTTACAGTTCATGTCGCCATGTCTGGTCGTGCTCTACCTGACGACCGCGCGTCTTGAAAGTAGTTCTGCAGCATAATTTTCATTGCAAAGGGCTCTGTTGTTGTCAAGATTCAACTCCTGAAGTAGAGTCTTTTGAAACTTTGATCTAGATTAAGTGGTTTGGTCCTGTACGTAAACAGTGTTCGTGTAATTAAAGAGCTAAGAAATATTTTCTTTCCAAATTATTACATATTCTGCATACTTTGACATTACTTCTCTTGGAAGTAACATAACGCAAACATAAATAAAGGAAATATTATTTGCAAGACTTCACTAGATGATCAAATCAGAATCGGCTGTGCCTGTTAACAACGCTCGAAAACTGAGTGAACGCTTTAGTTCAACTTTCATGAAAACGTCCGTGATAAATTGTTTATAAAATAAGTGGCTAAAACAAAACTTCCGAAGCTTTATAACTAATTGAAGTGATGTTATTTTCTACAATGGTGATGGATATTTAGTCGAAGTTTGTTAACTATTTAGCGGAAAAGGAATAAGACAATGGAATTCTATGTTACGTACCATTGCCAAGAGGTAAGAACATCGATATAGATATTTTTAAAAAATAGATATAGATACACACGATGAAATACAATATGTCCACACAATTAAAAAGTCTTATTTAATTATTCCAATACATGATCATTAATGCCACAGCTCTAAATTTAACAAAAGGTCTCTTAACTACATACAAGACGATTTCAAAATGAGCTTTAGAGCTTAAAAATTGTCAAAAATCAATATGTTATGGTTCTAGTCGTTTCGCAGCAGAAATGCTATTTGAAAAGAGCAAGCTAGAATACCTCATGACTATCAACATTTTGCATCTGACTTTCACTTACTTAAGATAAAATGTTTGACAAGCTAAACAATAGCAGGCATGTGTTACGATAAAATCAATTACTTTTTTCTTCGTTTTTGAAGATGAAACTTAAAATAGCTCTGCACGGTAGTTGGTGTCCAGAAACACTCCAGTTCAACATCGAACTTGTAAGTTAACTACAGCTTAAGATAGCACCAGTTTTACTTTCTAGGGCAAACAAGAACGAACTTATATATATATCTATAGTCGAACCAGTGGCGCTAATAGCATTTTAAGATGGCGTCCGTGTAACTTCACCCCGCAACATTTTATGGTATTTCGAACGTATCTGTCAATATATATATATATATATATAATTGAATTATCTTTGCCTTATCTACGAATATCATTATTAAACAGTAAAAAAAACATTCTTTACCAAACACATTAGATGGTTTCATTCACTAAAGTAACGGTGCTTAAATAATTATAAATTGACTATATCTTTTAGTTTAAGCACAAAACATTGACAATAATGGACTCTTCACATAATTGCAGCAGTCGGCATGTCAGTTACTTTAGATTGTATAGTAAGTACTGAAATTATTTTCTTTCCTTGATTTTCAAAGGTAGGAGAGTGACAAGTTGTTTTGGAATAAGTAACATTTTTTTTTAGGTCAGTGAAGATAAATTACTTTTCTTTCTTTGTCTTTCGAAAGTAATTGGGGAAGCAAAATGCCAAGAAATAAGTAAAATTTTTAGAATAGAGGATAAACACAAAAACTTAACATTTTATTCCCAAAACAACATATTTTGTTTTAGCATGGTGACAATATCAATACGTAACATAGGTAATCAAAATAACTGTATCACTTTAGATGAAGAAAAAATTATTTAAAATAACAGAGTTGGGGAATTAAGAAACATGCCTTTTGGTAAGCGGAACTTACCTTTGTTATTCTATCAAATTGTACCCAACATGATATTCTTAATTTGAACTCGAACTCGGCTAGTTTAGCTAGAAGTTTCGCTCAGCTTATGGAAGGATGTAAGAACGTCAGTGACTTCGCTGCGACTATCTTTTTAATAGCAGGATGTTTGTGAACACTTACTTAAGTACAAACAAACAGCGCCTAGTGGTTTGTCGCCTTCCGAGAAAGAGAAGAGAGATAAGACCAACTGTTCGTTTAATTGAGTGAAATGATACGCTCTTAAGAAAGCTTCGAGAAGTGTGACGTCTCAAGAGTGCCCGGCTGTTGCCAATAGAGCGCGCCCATGCGGCGTGCTAGTTCTCATAGACTGCCAACTCTCGCACGCTCTCTTCACGCTATCTACATCCACACTGCAGCAGCTGGGGGATCAATAAAATCTTTCATATGTGCACAAAAGGATCCTTTTGTGATTTTTTTTTGGTCGTCTGTAAACATAGTTTCAACCATCCGTAACTAAGAAGTTCCTAAAGGACTACACTAATCAGATAATATTATTTTTACAATAAAAGAAAAAACATATTTGTTTAATTTTTGTCGTACACAAGTTATCAAAAATACATTTTGACTGAATCTTTAATCACATATTCTAGGCTCAGGTTAAGCCACTAAAGAACATCTCATCTTTACAAGTTGTGTTATAGTAAGGACACAGTGTTAACACATTATTTGATGTTTTCCTAATAAAAAAAGTAATGAACTAGAAAGAAATATAATATTTATAATACTGATTTCACGGGACTTCAAAGAAAGGTGAAACAATATGGCAAACAGTTTTATCTATTGGGTTAGAATACTTTCAGAATTTGTAGTGCATACTGGAGGGGTTTAGATATCTTGGCAATAAAGTTTGAAAAAAAAAGAAAACGACCTTTACTCTCCGGATAAAAAAAAAAGCACATTTTATTTCTGTCAAACGAAAAGATTTGTTATTATTTTAGCGAAACAAATTTTTTTTCTTATTGTTATTAACTGGAAGATAAATATCGTTTTTGTCTCATTTTATTGTTAAAATGTTAGCGGTGAAAACAATCTGACTTCACTGAGTAATATCACAAAATAACAACAACAAGCACTTAACTGTATTCAGAAAAATACGCGAACAGTGAACTACTTAACGACAAAATCGCACACATAATAAAACTTTGACTTTGGATTAATGTTTGACATGGGTAGGATATCATAGAGTTTTTAAAATAAAATGTGGGTTTTCAGTACAATTGTAAGGATCATGTTCTGTAATAAAATATATATTTTTCAACGGAATGTTGTACAGGGTAAGAGTAAACATTTCTTTATGATAACTATGGTTAATATGGTTAATTTTACAGGATTTAGTAAAACCACAAAGTTCAATGTTTCCAAAACTATCCATAAAGTAATAAAAAATGACAATTAAAATGGTTCTTGTTAGCAACTGAGGATGAAAGAAATAACTCCGAATGGACAATTGAATATGCTGATTAAACTTATCAGATCAAAAGTTCAATTTTGTCACTATAGTCCGGGACATGATAACCATTTGGATAATTTAATAACTTACTCCACAAACTATCATGTGTTATGCTTTTATGAGTGACGCGTGTTATCCTCTTGTCACTTCATAAAGTATCCCATACATTGACACGTGTTACCCTCTTGTGAGTTATTAAAGTATCCCATACAGTAACATGTATTACACTCTCGTGAGTTAATAAACTATCCCATGAGCTCACGAGTTTAGAAAACATTATACTTTCTTACACATACTCCATAAATTAGAGTTAAATTAATTGTGTTGTTAAAGTATTTTGCAAAATTGTTCCTTACTATGCGCTTTTAAGATCTCTTAAACGAAATTTATATTGGTGTTATATAATTAAAATACTTCACCCTCTGAACAGTTTCTTGCTTTAGAACACAAGATAATTGATTATTTAAATAACTTACTATTGAAATGCAACTCGATACAAACTGAAGTTGGAAAATAAAAAGACATTAAAATACAAAAATGAAGATTTAACAGACAAACTGACACTTTCTAAACTTATAATTTCATAAACTATATGGTTTAGGTTTCAGTTTACCGTCTTTCTAGATATTTTAATAAATAGCTTTACAACAAATAGGTAATAATTAGTTTTTAAATGTTATACACACTGTATGATACAAAAAAAATTTGTTTTTCTCTCTCTCTTTAGATCTATTCTGGGGATCTATGCTTCAATTTTAAGCCTGATTCCCTAGGTTAAAAAGCTTCCGTGAAAGGCAAAAACGTGAAACACAAAAACATTATTTTCGTGAGTTCAAGTCGTATTATTTTTGTGTTTTTCGAGACCTTAAAATACACGCAATCCCAATAATATAATATATTTCTGTTTTTAATTATCAAATAGGAACAAACTCCATACTTTCGCTTGTGAGCTCATTATAAAAGTGACAATTGATCCTTCTATTCGGTTACATGTGGCCGTGTAGGGGGCGAACGCTGTTTACTGGTTACACTCCCTCTGATCAGTGGTTATATATCAGGGACGACCATGCTTTTGCAAATGGTATGTAACAGTTCTCTCTGATGCAAAAATTCATACACTCAAATCATAAAGATGTGTTTAGATCGGGGATTTAGAATTTCCATTATGAGGATGTCCCTTGAACTTAATGCACTAGAAAACAAAGAAACATGGATCAACTTGGGGTAGGTACCAAGAGTTAACTTTATTTACACAGCCATACTCCGGCCTTAGAGTCTCTGATCTGGCCATTTAGCGTATATTTAATATGCCCCAACAATAGTGCCAAATCTTGTAAGTTGGCAAAATATTTCGACGAAAGTAATTATTAAAATATTTGAAATGAGCTTAATAGTTTAGTAAACAAACGAAACGTGGTTATTTTTTAATTATTATAGTTTTTCAGCCTAATAAAGTTTTTTCTTAATTTTTTCCAAGACTATTAAAAAATAGGATGATTTTAAGCAGCCAGTTGTATAGGGATAATCCTAGGGAAGTCCTAGGAATTTTTAAATATGTATGCAAATAAACATATATTTATTTATTAATTCAAATAAGAAAACTGATATTGGCGACTAGCAGGTCAATGCCTTTGAAATAACTTATACGCTTGATATAATAAGTCAGTACTTTTGAGTCAGTGTGTACATTTAATATTGTGGTAATTCTAATCAAAATACAAGAACAATAAGACAGATACGAAAAGATCCGGAGTTAACTTCATTCACACAGGAGTTAAAAGTCAAAACTCGTATATTATCAGTGGCGGATCCAGGATTTTGAAAACGCGTTGATTCTGAACGTAAGCGAGGAATTTTCGGGACTTCCCTGGTAGGGGTTAAATGGGTCTCTGATTTGATCATCTAGTGGAGTCTTACAAATAATACTTCCTTTATTTATGTTTGCGTTATGTTACTTCCAAGAGAAGTAATATCAAAGTATGCAGAATATGTAATAATTTGGAAAGAAAATATTTCTTAGCTCTTTAATTACACGAACACTGTTTACGTACAGGACACAAGACCAAACCACTTAACCCAGAACCAAGTTTCAAAAGACTCTACTTCAGGAGTTGAATCTTGAAAACAAGTTATGGCTTGAAGAGTTAGAAAGCTAACCCCATATGCTTTCTTGGCTTAAGAGAAAGCCAGCTGAGTTACACTAAATCAGGAAAATGAGTCAATTCGAAAATTATGAGGCGGGAAAATTTTATGGATCTACGTGGTTTCCCAGCTGATGGCTGGGAGTACACATCCAACCCTAAAAAAGCCATATTTATTCTAACGAATTTAGTCAAACTCGTTTTAGATCGAAGTCATTGACTTCTCTATTACCTGTTAAAACTCTCCTCCCAACCAATGAACCTAAGGGGCCGTCTAATAATTCTGATATAATTAACAGCTTCAGTGTACATTCTAAAGCTAGAATGGAAATCGAGTACTTTGACACACAGTATCCTAAAATCACGTAACGAGGTGAAACAGCATGTATCAAAATATAAATTTTTATATTGTTTTATCCCTTGAACTTAATGGCACTGTAATTTTTTTTTCAAAGCTACGCGAGGGCTATCTGCGCTAGCCGTCCCTAATTTAGCAGTGTAAGACTAGAGGGAAGGGCAGCTAGTCATCACCACCCATCGCCAACTCTTGGGCTACTCTTTTACCAACGAATAGTGGGATTGACCTTCACATTATAACGCCCCCACGGCTGAAAGGGCGAGCATGTTTGGTGGGACGGGGATTCGAACCCGCGACCCGCAGATAGCGAGTCGAGCGCCCTAACCACTTGGCCATGCCGGACCGGACACTGTAAAATAAAGAAATATGGACCAATATGGGTTACCAAGACCAAAAAGAGACCTACAAACAAGTCATACACCAGCCGTGGTAAGCAAAGTGTGGCGTCTTGTAGCAGGCGAGAATCCAAGAAAAGAAAGGTTAGTAGTAAAAGCCATCCAAATGTCCCAAGCAATAGTACACAATATAACCCAGAAAGCCCGTTATTTGAAGACGAAGCTAACATGATAGGGGTTCACCAAGATAAGGCTTCCAATCACAACTCCTGCTCAAATGTCGCATTCCTCAAGCAGCTGGAGAATGAAACAGTTGCTATTACAAAAGAAGATATACCGTTGAAGTTACCACATGCACGCGTATAGATTTCTGTTTGATATGAGTGTTGAAACAGGCAACTGAGAAACTGTCATTCTTGTAAAGTAGACAGACGATGGAAATCAAACAAGGAAGGATATTGTGTTTTTAACCTGAGAGCTTTATAGCAGAGCTGTTTGCAATGAAAACTATGCTTCAGGACTACTTTCAAGACGCACGGTCGTCAGATAGAGCACGACAAGACATGGCGACATGAACTGTAACATCGTGGTGACGCTTCAAAATCATTTTAATATAAAGTTCTTAACGTCTAGGTGCAATTTGTGAATATAATCCGAAGGTATAAAACACTTAAAATGTGAAGCGTTTTAAACTACTTTAATTCTAACTTTAAAAACAGTTTATATTTATGTTCATGTATTAAACACTGTAATAAGTTTTGATTTTCATTTGTATTGTATCGTAGGTTGTAAGTTTTGGTTTTATTTTGTATTTTACAGTTGGCACCAGTTGAAGTTAGTTCTGGTTTCGGATTTTGGCTTACATGTGTTGTTTATAGTTCGAAATTATATTTTAACTTTTCAATTTGCATAGTATTGTAGATCAAGGTTTAATATTTGTCACTCAAAATCTAT